AAAACTGTGCCTGAAGTCGCATACAAATTTAATGATGTATCATGTCAACCCTCCTGAAAGTCGCGCAACCTTTTTGGATCGGAGGAAGTAGTTGTATTAATGGCTGTTTTTATATGACCTGCATTCCCTCTAATCGTGCCGATTTGGTTTTTCCATGAGGAGATGGAGGTGACAATTCGCGCCTTGTGTTCTTCGAACTTGCCGCGACCCAAGTTCGAAGAATGTGGGTCGCGGCAATTCTTTCGTGAGCATATCAGCAAGAATCGAGTTCGCTTCGCAGTACTTGATCTTGATGGTCACGGATGAAGTGGTGGCGCACGTCGATGTGCTTCGTGCGTTGGTGGAGCGCTGGGTTTTCGGCCATCTGGATGGTGCTCTGGTTGTCTTCGTACACGAGGATCGGCAACTCGATTGGGAGCTTGAGTTCTTGAAGGATTGAATTGAGCCAAAGAGCTTCTTGCAAACCATATAGGACATGGAGATGTACTTGGCTTTCGAGGTCGATAGAGCGACGATGTTTTGAAGCTTAGTCTTTCAACTGACCAGATATCCATTGAGGAAGAGGAAGTAACCGGATGTTGAACGGAGAGTGGTCTAGGCGTTGGCGTAGTCGGCATCAACATAGAGTTCGAGCGTAAATGTTTCGTCGGAGGACTTCTTGTAAAGAAGGCCCAAGTCTTGAGTTCCTTTCAAGCAGCGTAGTACGCGCTTGGCGATTTGGTGATGCTCGGGAGCAGGATCGTTAAGGTGTATTGAGAGCAATGTCACAGTGTAAGCTATGTCGGGACGCGTAGTGGTGGTGTCATAGAGTAGTTCGCCCATAATATTGCGATAAGGCAAATGATCGTTAGAGACGGCGGAGGAGACTGAAGCGGCGGGGTGTCCAGTGTCTTGAGGCGTTGAGATTGGGTTGCAATCAGAATGTCCGTGTTTAGCACGTATATCCGAGTCATATATGTGTTGGTGCAAGTGGATAGAGCCATCGTCAAGGCGTGTAACTTCAATTCCAAGGCAAAAAGTCAAGAGACAAAGATCCTTCATGGTGAAACGGACAGAAATGTCACGCTTGGTTGCTTCCAGCAATGAAGTGCTCTGGGAGAGAAGGATGAAGTCATCAACATACACGCGCACCAAAAACTAAACCATCGGGCGACTGTTGAAAGTAGATTCAAAGGTGGGTCTTGAGCGATGTAAAGCCTTGAGAACGGAAGTACGAATCGAGGGCGAAGTTCCATTCACGCGAAGATTGCTTCGGGCCGTAAATGCTATTGTTGTGGCGGCAAACAAGGTGTCCTTGTCCAGGCTGAAAGTATCCAGGAGGTTGGCGCAGATAGAGTGTTTCTTGAAGTGTATCATTCAAAAATGCAGTTTGAACGTCCATGTGATATACTTCCAAGGTGTAAATGGTGGCTAAAACAACGAGGAAACAAATGCTTGAAGCGCGAATATCCGGGAGCAAAAATGTCCGTGTAGTCAATACCAGCAATTTGTGTGATACCTTGAGATACGAGACGGGCTTTGAAACGGGAAAGAGAACTATCAGCGGCGTATTTCTTGGAGAAGAGCCAACGGTATCCAATGGGCATTCGAACAGGAGAGTGTTTACAAGAGTCCAGGTACCAGGTTGCATCAGGGATTCATACTAGCGACGAAGAGATGAATCCAAGACGGGAGTCGTATCGATGTCTGCAGTGTCTTCGAGGTAGACAGGATGGTGAGGCGGAGCAGGTGGGGCAGCGATTCAGATGGAGCAACTGGGCGAGGAGAAGCAACGTCAGACGCTGAGATGGAGCAGATGGCAAGGTAGAGTCGACGGCAGGTGGAATCGGAGATGTCAGCTGTACGTTGGCATCAGGGGAAGATCGCTTGACAAATTGGGTGCGGGTGGAGCAATGGAGGGAGCGGCAGCAGAGTTAGAGTCCATATAGCGTGAAGGAGGACGACGACTGCGGCCTGAGCGACGAGGAAGGGAATCAAGTTGCGAAGAAGCGTCACGTGAAGGAGGCTCGCAGTTGAAGAAGTTGCCTTCTGCTTGCTCTAATGAAAAAAGAAGGAGAAGGAGTAGCAAGAAAGAAACACGTGGCTTCATTGAACACAACGTTACGGCTTACGATGATCTTTTAGGGACTCTGACAGAACAGGCGATATCCTATAACGTCAGGTTCATGACCCAGATACATCGTGCGGATGGTCTTCGACGAAAAATACGAACGCTCATGTTGCTCGACGTGGGCAATGGCTTCTCTACCAAAAATGCGCAATATTGATATGTCAGGACGGGACTTATGCAAGCGCTCGAAGGGCGCACAGTGATTCCTAGATTTTTGTACGATGGGAATTCATCAAGTATAAAAGGTATCATATTCAAAGGTATCCGACAAATATCAAATTTTCAAGTTCTAGCTACGACATCAAAAACGCCCACAGACATGGATGAGCCGACACGGAGCGTCTCAAGAACAGCCATCAGCGACCTTTGAGGTGCCTGTATGCGCCCAGCAGTTTCAATCATTGATGGTGACACTTCATCCCACGCCTCTGCTGCCCAACGCATCGCCTGCAGCACATCGCAGGCATACGGATTCCTCCGTTGCTTGTCAGTCACGGCGCCACCTGAGGGAATGTTGTCGACAATTTGAATCGCATGGGTAAGTTGGCGTTTCTTGTAGTATGCTTTGAATGCGTCGATAATTCCGGCGTCCATGGGCTGCAGCGAGGAGGTGGTGTTCTGTGGCAGCATGGCCCGAACAACTTGGTGCGAGAAGGCATTGTCCAGGAGTAGTAGAATAGTTCGGCGCAATTGTCATCCATACCTTGCGATTGCTTCGATAATATACGCTCAACTCGCTCGCCGAGAGGCTACCAAAGCAACGAGGTTTCTCGGACTTACCGATAAAGAAAGGAGGTAAATTATGTGTTCCATCAGCGTTGGATGTCAGGGCGACAGAGGTTCTACTCTTGTCTTTCTTAAGGTGTTTTTAAGTTTGATCGGCAGTGCATGGCCTTATTGTCGGTGTTGCATGACTTCGCTTCTCTGGGTTCCTTAAGGATGCGACCAACTGTACTGGAATGGATCAAGCATCCAAATTGTTTATTGACCCACGTGGCTAATTGGGGATATGTCACGGACCCTTGCGGCTGGCTATTGTAGAAGATACGCAGTGTATCATTTTGTTACAAGGTCAATCGCTTCCCACCTGAAGGCATTGCGGCTGTTTGGGCACCAAATTTGAATTTCAAATACCTGGACCTCTAAAAATTTTCAAAGCTGTCTAGAATTAGTTCAGAGAGGTTTCCGACGCGTGCAAAAATCGAGGCATCACTGTAGTACCTGGTGTCGATGAAAAGTATTTTCGACAAAGTCGAGGTCAGCAAGTCGGAGCAGAGTCGGCACGAATTATGCGCACCATGAAGAAGCTAGGCCGAAGTGTTGTGAAGTTCGACGACAAATTGTGGTATGACAACCACCCTATTGTCGCTCGACGATTGGCCTTTGGAACATCGTCGTTTCTTTATGCAGTCAAGGACTTGTTTCTTGAGCGTATCAAGTTTCCAACGCGCAAGACAATGCCGCACGAGTTGTAGGTCACTCCTGCGATGTTTTCGGTTATCGTTGCTTCACGACAAAGAACATTTTTTGCACAAGTTCAAGACTCAAATGCCTGGTTTTTGTCTCGATACTGCGTTCGTCCTGACGTCTTCCCTTCCGAGCTCAACGCTGAGAAGGACTCGTTGACGGCGACGGACTGGAACTCACACCTCAATCCATTGCATTCCGATGCCATTTTTTGGTGAACAAGCGCAACACACACTGGGAGCGCGTTTTTAGAATAGAATAGCAGGAAGTGCATGAATTGGTTGAACTTGTAGTTCTTCGTTGGAAATTTCTCGATCACGAAAGGACTATTTCACATGGTCACACAGGACTTGTGTGTGACCACCAAACGAGCGTTTCGTGGCTTTACCTGAACCTATTTGACGCTCTAATATAACGGAGAGTATCCGGAATCGCGCTGATTTAAAGAAATAGGTCTGAAATATGGCTCCTCCGACCACACATGACGGGTGATCTGACAGTGTACTAGGTTGGGATAAAGTTCTGGAGTAAGGTATTCTGCTAGCAAGTGAGGAATTTTCCATCTAGCCACCAGACTGTGAATGTATCTACAATATCACTTTTGGAATATCCCTTTTGACCTCAGTGTTCACTCCAGTGGTGGAGTGACAAAAATTACAAATACAGAATTCTTTTCTCCATACAATGATCACTACCAAGGGCGCGTTCGTCGGATACGGTAATCCAATTTGCGGTAACCATTCGCATTGCAGCGAGTGACTTCCTCACTGGTGCCGCAGAATTCGAAGTCAACACGTCTAGGTAGCGTGTGCTCCAAGGCCGCATCAGACTGCAGTCAACGCGCTAGTCAACGTCAACGAGGGCGAGCACAATCTTTGAGATGCCCAAAGACACGTCGATCAGTGTCAAAGGAAGCTACTACTCCACGTTACTGCGGTCGGGAACGTGGTAGCGCGTCAGTGCCACGGACACGGTCTTTTGGGCATGATATAGACTCTATTTCGCCGCATCCTCACATTTCTGCGCAGTACTGGGAGTATGCTGTCATCCCATGGGCTTATCAATGCTGCATTCAGTGGCTGCTTCCGCTCTTCCATTGTGTTGCGGATGTTTTCCCCAGGAATTTAAGCGTAATATCTTTGCACATCCAACAAGTTGAAATAGAGTATTTTTCCTTACTTCCGACTTACATGCATATTTAGATGCACACATTGAGTTGGTCGTTATTGCTGTCTCTTTGGACATGCAAACTATGCCCAATGCGTCT